TTTTTTTGTTTTTTTCTGGTCGTTTTAATACGTTTGGGGGGTACTTTGAAATTAATAATAAAATTGATAAAAAGTTACCCCCTTTTGGCTTTTTTTAAAACCTTGGGGAATTTTGTGGCCTTTGTTTTTAATTTCCCCCCCCCCCCGGTAAAGCATTAAATGTTTTCATGTTTACACTTTTCTTCCTTTTGTATCTCAGGGGAGGAGGGGGGGGGGGAGGATGTACTCCAGGGGTGAGGGTGTTGGTACGCTCACTCTATTTCACACAACAAAAATATGTGATTTTCCTACCCTATTTCTACCCTGGACCACTGTTCTCAAAAAGAGAAATGAAAAAAGACTTATACTCAACTCCAGACCCCTGTACCAGACAAACAGAAAAAAAAACGTACAGTATTTTGACCTAAGCGATTGAAAACTATCCCGATTTTGACCATAAGTAGTCAAAAACCATACTACTTGGGTGGTAGTTTGTTTACACCAAAAATAGGCGAAATCATGCGGAGTCTATGTGGGAGAGAACCAATTATGCTCGGTCAGTGGAATCTATTAATGATAATTTGCTTGTCACGTATGATGATCATCAGTTCCATGGATGCAGGTTGGTAGTTTTTGCAGTTTTTGCTTTTCTCTGTGCTATCTGTTGTTCATCGTTTTCTCGTTTTGTTCCCTCCTTGTCCAGTTGTTTGTTAGTTTTTCTTAATCAGTAATATTTTTTCGTTTTCTTTAGTCGACTCGTTCACTTAGGTTAACTCCCTTACCATTTGATCGTTTGGCATTAATTTCTTTGAGCGTTCATTTTTTTCTTTAAGTTTTTATCTGTTTGATTATTAACACCAGTGATGATAGCAGATAAACGAATGAAAGCACAGTATTTATTCCCATTTTTTTTGTTGAATATGTTTCCTAAGAGGCCGCAACATGTAATTTGTGGTATAAACAATGATTTATTATTAATATGTTGCTTATTAACTGCAAGTCGGCGAAAGAGAACCCTTACAACTGTTCACTAGATGTTCGGTACGAGAATGGGACCTGTATTTGGGTGTGTCGTCCGACTATGCTTCGAAAAACGTCAACGGTCAAACTAACAATATGGGTGAAAATCTTAAAAATCTTAAGTGAGATAAATCCGAGGTTTTGTATCAGTACGTATAACCATTATCTTCTCAATTTACTCACTAACAAGCAGATGACTTTTAAGTTATATAAGATTATTTTTTTGATAAACCATCTGTCAAAGCCGTCTCCATACGAATAGCATGTTTACTTTGTTCTTGCCAAAGACATTGACTCATTCTCTCCCTGGCTTTGGAGAAAAGCCAGCTAGCCAGCTATAGCTAGGGATAACTAGAAAGAATTTGAACGTTACGTTGCATGAAAAGTATTAAGTGAAACAGCAAAAGTTGGTTGGTTGGATAAAATGAACTCTCTAGAACATGTACTAGGGGTTTTCTATAACTTATGTCATGGGCTCCTGCAACAAACCGATATTTTATTGGTAGTTAGTTGGTGTTGCGGACAGGAGTGATTACCGAACTTATTACCAAATGACTTAATTCAAGCAATTTTAAAAAAGACACGGAATGATAACTCACACCTCAACACAAAAGCGAGCTAACAATGGTTTCCCCAACAATAAGAAACACCCTTCTTATTGGAGTAATCAATGTTGTTCCCAGATCCTAAATCATGAACACCCGTATCAACCTCGAAAGCCTGGGGAGAGTAAAGCTACATTTGCCCCAGTCCTCAGGAGGGGAGTCGCAGAAGTCAGACATGCCCTTCGCTGTTTACAAGGTCAAATTTTCAAGCAGTGAGGCGTGCCTACCGGAGTTGCGCAAGGCTGCCGGTGCGAAAAGCTTCCTTCAGGACAATCCGCGCCTCAAAAGCAATATGGTTCCATGGTACTCAAGACGAATCCTAACTCTGGCGGTGTTTTTATTGCTATTTATAATACTGTCTCTTGTAATGACTGGTCTGTTTATCTGGAGAGCTTTTTTCCACGGTTCCAAGAATAGTGAAGGTAGCACTGTAAATCCATCTATCAGTATCTCACAGGTAAGCTGCTTAGCTTATTCCAAAAAAGCGCATATATATATTTAAGCATCAAAGTCCCTTTCCTAATGGACTCAAAATCTGATATGCATGATCTCTTTTCAACGAGTAGGTGAACCATTGTCTTATCTTGAAGAAAAATATAATATTCAAGCAAACAAACCTAGTGAGGTTTATTGTATGCAACCTGCTCATCCCTTAATACAATCATATGTACTTTGCACCCCAGTACAACGTGTACTACAAGATTCTTATGCGCCATAAAAATATTCTTTCGATCCATATTTTTCGCTGATCTGTGAAATCCACGCTGTTCTGTGGATTTGCAAGCATTATTATTACAACTGTCCACGTATCACTGGTAATTTACCAAAAATTGAAACATGTTGAGTGGGTGGATTCTGCTGTTCAAGTTATTTTTTCGTAATTTAAACGGGGACGACAGGTGGGCATAGGATCGATAGAATGCTCGAGAGGATTAAAAGAATCGTAATCATTTCCAGTATTAAGGGAAACTGAGTGTGACTCTCTATCTCATGACACGCCCTTCGGTTTGAAATTTTTCAGTACTGTCTTGGTTGCCGTTTCTCCTTAAATCTTCCCATTTTAAGAATTTCTAGAAGCATATCTAAGCAAAAAATAAAATGTATTTTACTATAACTGTATTATAAAAACATGCTGTTGACGTATTAGGACGCAGAGAGTGCAGATACAGAAACTCCACTTTCAACGGAAAGGGATTTTATCTTGCCACATGACCGTAACATAGATGGAGCTTTGAATGGAAAGATGTTTTGTTCGCCTTGAAGTCGTCCGCGTATTTGCGTACCAATAGTTTTAATGCGTTTAAAGAGAATCGTAGCGTGTGTTTTGCAATTAAATCTAATTAAAAAACTAATCGCCCGTTATTAAAGATAGAAACCTTTTTCTCAGGGCAAAAATGAATCGAGAATAATGCTTGGCTAAAACAAAAAGTGTTTTTTCTTGGTGCGCATGCATTTAAAAAATTATAACATGTCCGGTAAAATAATTTTGAAGTGAAGTAGGGTGGCAAACTAAAAGAAAAAAAAGGATCATTATTTACACTTAGAAGGCGCGGATCCTCTTTTTAAAAAGCAAATTTGCTCGTGAAGACGGAAGCGACGATTTTAAATAAGAGTTAATGGACTCAGCCAACTTAATAGAAAACTCATTTCAAAAGCAAAAAGTAAATAACGTCATTCTTCAATTTTGACAAATTTTAATTCAATGATCCTTTAGATGTATTTCGCACAAACTTTTTTTTTGAGATGATCATATGTAAGGTCATGTACAATTTCGTTATTTTTCAAAACCTCATTATACATTTAATTCTTGTTTGTTCTGAAATCAACGCTGTCAAAATGATTGAATTCAATTGACGTTAAACGTATTCTCTAAGCGGGTGATATACAAACATAACTTATGATATTGCCCATTATTACAATATTGCCCGGAAAATAGAGGGACATTTGACAATGGCCTTCGAAATTAAAGTCTATATTTCTTTTGTAAGGCGCTGCTGGAACCCAATAAAGTGTAATAAATTGCTTGCGAAGCAGGTGGAACCAAAACGTTTCAGAGACCGCCACCTTTTCACAGAACTTTAATACACAGATGTTAAGCCCTAGATTCTGTTCTCGATCGAATTTAGAAATCATTAAAAATTGCAAGAGTCAACTAAAATAAACGTAACGGCTATTAGTCTTCATCAGTTGGCTAAAGCCAGAATTATACAAAAAGGTGCTGATAAATTTGTTGTTGGCTGGTTGCAGTAGACTAAACTTTAGTCTATGAATTGAAATTGAAATTGTTACCTTTATTTGAAACATTCGTTTTGTGAAAATTACAGAAAAATTGTCTTTACATGTAAAAGTTATTGATCTCTGCCCTCAGGAGGCTTCTGGAAACATCCAAAACTCATAAAGGTTTACAGTGTGTTAGTATAGTGTAAATAACCTTTTTTAAAGAAATTTTTGTCGCCGGCGGTGCCCTTATAAATCGATGATTAGTAGTAAGTAGATTTGTTTTGAGTTCCGCAGCGAACTATTGTATATAGTGCAAAACAAACCTTACAAAGGTGACAAAATGAATAAGTGAATTTTGATTGGCCTAATAATTGCTTCAATAAGAAGTTAACGGCGCACCTTTTAATTTGTAATTGGAGGGCGTAAAAGAATATCGTCCGCAACCGGTCGTTTACGCCATAACAGGGTTTAATTACTTTTGCAAAAGTGAGCGCCAAGAAGGCCGCCGACTCGCGGGTACTTATAAACTCTGGATCCGCCACTAATGAAGTCATTGGGGGTATTGGGAAGGGGAAGGCAATGCAGCCATCTTCTTTGGCTTCGTCTTTTTATTTCGTTTTTTTTTGTGAAGACAACTTTAATGATATAGTTCATGTAGGTTACGATAATTAATCAGTGGGCGACTTTTGTTTCATGATTTTTGACCGCTTTTGTAAGACCTTTTACGTAACTTATGTACATCTGTTTGTAGCTAGCAGTCACAGGAGCACCTCCAGTTTCTGACTGTCCCGTGCGAGCAAAAGCAGTGCCGCTGACCAGCCTTCCAGAGAGGGTCAAAAATACACTGGCTGAAATGGACAGAGAAATGGAAACTAAGATAAATGACGATACGGTGAGAGGAAAATTAGGGAGAAAATAAAGAAAAAAAACTCTTACTACTTTTATTTTATTTGTACGGTTAACAGATATAATATTATCAGGCTGGAAGGACCCTGCATGAGGTTAAAACAAAAACAATGTAATCGTTCTCCGTTAACCACTGAAAGTAATTATTGTAAAAACTACGAAAAGATAGCCCGCCAGAGTCCCAAATTATATGAGAAAGATGATTTTCAATCAGTAACCATTTCTAAAACGCTTTCGATTGCACTTCAGAAGCACTTTAACTAACTCCAATTTCTGCAATTTCTGCACCCGTGATCTGAACCCAGTTTTTTAGCCGTTTAGATTGTTATTATACTAACAGTACGGTTTTCAGAGCTGTCGCTAAATTATAGTATTCTTGTATATAGGTATCCATTTTGGCTAACGTTGTATACATGGACAAGATAATTTGGCAGCGCTCGTTTGGGAAAATGAACCGATCGAATCCCCAAGCACCACCACTTTCTGGCAGAACAGCGTTTCCCATAGCGAGTGTTACAAAAGTATTAACGGTAAGAAAAACCTTCTTTTTTATGTCGCTCTTGGTAAAAGAGTAAAACATGAACCCCATTTTAGTGACCTCGATTTTGAAAAAAGGATAAATTAATTTAAAATTATAGTTTGGCATTGAAGCGTAATTAACAGACTTTTTGACCCATCTTCATTATGTTTATCGGTCCACAAACTTCTCTTCAGCCTTGCTTCTCTTCTCGCTTACCACCAAACACATTTTCGTCTGGAAAGAAGAAAAATCACTGTCTGCCGGGGACAACAGAAAAGGATAACCTCTTACTCGCCCTCTCTAACCTACCCGGATATTTCAGGAGATGGGATTTTAAATTCCTTCATATCTGAGTCAACAATCTCTCTTGTTTTTCATTCACCTTCAGGCACTGATGCTTTACAAACTTTACCATGAAAAGAAAGTCAAAACTCTTGATGATCCTTTTAAGAAGTACTTGCCAAGCTTTTCCATCAAGGATCCCTTCAAATCACATGATATTACCCTAAGGTAAATACTTATGTTCCACCCTACAAGGAGGATCCGGGGGCATGTTACCCCTGGTAATTGTTTTGAGGTTAACTCCCTTAAGTCTCCTTTCCTAGGTCTCCAAGTAATTCAGACAGGATAAGGTGGAAATTTTTTTTTAAATTAAATATATATTTGTTTATGAAAAATCTGACCACATTGTCGTAAAATGGTGTGGATCCCCGCTTGCTTCTAGTTAATAAATTACAATAAAAAAAAGTCTCCTTTTCGTTTTTTCTTAAATGTTTAACCTTTTCTTCAGGGAGATGGTTTCTCATATGTCAGGATTACCACGAGAAGCGCCATGTTTTCCTGAAGCAGATGGCCAGGCAGTTTGCAAATGGAACAACAGCGTTATGCTAAAGAGAATACAGAATCTTTCTCTTATCCTTGAGCCAGGGAATAAAGTCAGCTACAGGTAGACGAGATATCCTCATTATTCTTGTTCTGATTGATTGAAATGACATTTCGTGGATGAGCGTTTAACATACGTGTCCTCTTTACATTATATAAAGTCGATCATACCCCGCTTAACGGACACCTCATTTATACAGACAGTTTACTTTGTCCTTATGGAGAAAATGTAAAGGGTTTCTTTCCACATTAAACGCCCTTTATACGAACACCCATTTTCTATGGCCCTATCAGTGTCCGTGTTAAAGGGACTTGACTGTATTGACATGTTAACAGTTTTGTAGAAGTCTGCCTCAGCGTGCATCGCAGTGCGAGACAAAATAATACGGAGCACAATAATAATATGATAAGGATAATACGATTCAACACATCCCATAAGAGAAGCATCAAAGGATGTGTTTGATTAGGATGATCCGGATCAGGATCAGTAACCTGAGATCACGCGGATCATATTGTAGCACATTAAAGGAACCAACAATTCCACCCAGGGAAAGGATTCAGCCGTTCATTTGATATACCACGATCCGGGTGATCTCGGATCATTGATCCTGATCAGGATCATCCCAAAGAAACACACTCAAAGCCAAGGGACACACTCGATCCCAGCCATATCCCTTAAACATGCGCACAGCCCTCTTGGATAATTGCAGCAATGGACAGTTGATTTATTCTTGTTAGGAATAGTCCGTGCAAACCTGGACACAAGTGGAGACGTCCCGTAGTATAACCAATGACTGCATGACTGACCTATTCAGTGCCCATAAGTCCGGTCCGCAACAACGGATCATGCCGCGAAACAGAAAGACTCTTTAATTTTGGCAGTGTCATTTTCATCTGCTTGTTCTTTACATTCCGATGTCTACTGCGCGCTGACTTCCGTTAGCACATGTTTAGTAACTTTAAGGTAGCTCACAAACGAACGCGTTCTAAAATTATAGCAACTATTCATGAAGAAATGACAGGAGATTGGATCAGAGGCATTATGATCGTTCACTGTGGTAAACCCATCCCCTCCGATATATATAGATCAAAGTCTGCAAAGTTTCAGCTCTGTATTACGGCTTTTCCATCAAAGGGACCATGCCATATTTGTTCTTTGTTGTTGACTTTTTCTAAATCCGGACGCCGAAATAATGCTAAATCTGCTTTTCAATACACTGTTAACAATAACACCATATAATACGCAAAAAAGAAGAAGAAGAAAAGAAAGAACAACGTATGGACCTTTAAGACGATATGCGCGGTTGGTCACCGACTGACAGGGCTTAACTTGAGTGCCGTTACCAAACCAAGTTTTGCGAGGGTTATTGAGAGATACGTATTTCTAGTACTGAACTACTTTGTTCCACATGTTAAAGTAATTTAGGTTTTGGGCTGCTTGGTCAAGGCCTCGCTTTGTCACAAAACTCATCCTACGAGGACTGGATACAGGAAAACATTTTTGAACCGCTAGGAATGCAAGATTCAGGATTCAGGTTAACTCCAGAGTAAGTGGCACTATGTTTTTTTGGTCTATTTTAGTTTCATAGCTTTAACCCTTAGGCGAAGTTGCTGTCACCATTGGCCTGGACACACTTGTTTTTTTATTTCGCCCCACGTAGGGTTATCGAAGACTGTTTTGGATTCTGGATTCCAAGCTTTGGCTTCCGGATTCCAAATACTGTCGGTGCTGAGTTCAGGATTCCTTATAGTGGAACTCACTAGATTCCGGATTCCCGTCGTTAGCCCAGAATTCCACTGGATTTCACAAGCAAAAAATTTTCCGGATTCTAGAAACCGGGTGATAGTACATGGGGGGTTTATCGTATGTTTTAGGACTTCCTGACATCACTTATTTAACTGATCAACTGCGTCAAAAACTCGTGAATAAACAATCTAAAACTGCGATATTCCATAAGATACACTGTTAAAAGCCAAGTTTTTTCCAGCTTTTCCCTTGCAATTTACTAACTAAAGGAGAGTGAAGTCGTGTGAACGAGGTCAAAAAATTAAAAGTTGAAGGCCTAAATCGGCCAATCGGTTAATCGGTCAGGTTTCAACAGGCCTAGCCTATTCTGCAAGACGTTTTGCTTCAGCTGCAGACCTTACATCTAATAAACTTTTAAGGGAAAAACATTTAACTTCACGTTTGCCTTCAGGATGAGACAGAAGATTCCCGTGGGATATCTCAAGAAGCTTCCGCTGGAGCCGGTTGAATGGGGCTGGGCGAGCCCTGCTGGGGGTATGTTTACTTCCATAGAGGATATAGCAAAGGTAAAGTTACTTCCTCTTTGTTTCCAGTCGCGTCTTGTTAGTAATGAACCTGCACTTCGTACTGTCAATAAGTAGACGAGGACGACTACAAGAATAAGAATTTTTCAATACTAAGTAGTGTGCGCGAGAGCAAGCGTCATTTTGGCGGGAAAACAAAATTCTACCTCGAGCTTTAGCGAAAATGTCGAAATGGTGACAGAACCAAGCCGTTTCAAATGATAGAAGTTTTATCATTTTGCGATTGGGAGACGGCTTAACCTCCTGCAATAAAAACGCATATGTAAAATGAAGCCACTCAGTGTTCTGTGGTGAAATCTCATCCCCTTAGTCGTTCTTGTTCCCGGAGCCTTGTCCTCGAGTCCAAAGGTCTCTAATAAAAGTTGATTGAAAACGATCAGTAACCACTCTTGAAAATAGATATGTTGCATTCTAAGTGTGAAGTTCAGAGAGTTCAGAGAGGTCGCGGGAATTTGAATTCCAGTACAGGCTCTTTTAAAAATTTGTTGATCCTAGCTTTTTAGGGTTACCACAGAAAAATCTTTTTCAGAAAATCAATTTTATCAAGATTTCCTTATTATCGTGCCACCAACAAAGTTCTATTTTCAATGATCAGTCATCTTTTTTGTTTTCCTATCCAGCTGGAGATAAAACTTTTCAATTCAACAGACGAAGATGATTTCTTCTCCCCAGTAATCACCCAGGAATTTTTCTCACCAGGTAAAATAATTCCTTTTATTAGAGTTTTTGGGTAGTTCACGTCAAACCAAATGGACCAATCAGATCTCGGAATAAACATCATTCTGAAACTTGTGTCAAGCGCGGGAAATATGTAAGCTTGAGCGTGTAGCTGTTTTTTGTGGTTTTAGATTTCTGGCGTGCGCCTTATGCAGGGTTTCCGTGTTTTGTAAAATCCTACTTTATTTAAAAGTCAATGTATTTAGCACGAGAGTACTAGGGCAGTGCGTTTAAATCTCTACTGGAATCTCTACTGGAAGCTCCACTGCCATTTTACTTCCAGGACAAAGGTAGCACCTCCATTTATTAATTATAACACTTATTTCTCATTCTAAGACCCTGAGTATTGATCCTGCCCTGGGGATTGAGCCCGAAACATCTCGCTGTGTTGACGCTCCGATCCCCCAACTGACCATGAGCCTAACCATGTCGCGGTCAAGGTTTTTAAACATTATAATAATTATTTATCATGTTTATAGTCTTAATGATTTTCATAAATTCAACTTCATAACATTTCAAGCGTTTTCTCCTTGTAGCTTACATCTTGGATGGTAAGCAGTTTATGGGATCTCCTTGGGAAATGTACCTCCTGAATGATTATCTTGCAAGAGTAAAAAGCGGCTACGTGTACGGATACTCATCCAAAGTTTTTCTTTTTCCTGATCTTAAACTTGGTAGGTTGAATTGTCCCACACTTCGAGTTTTATACAAGAGCAGACCTCGCTATTAACATTCTTAGCGGGCATTTCACAGGAATAAGAGCTTCAAAAGGCAGCTTCCGGGGCGGATCCAGGATTTTTTGTAGAAGGGGGTGCAACACTATCAAAAGGAACTAACATTTTAACTATCAAGAATATATGCCTGTTTTTGAGCCAGATAATAGGGATCTGTTGTCATATACCGTCTTTATTCGTGTAAAAGCCACCCTCGATTAAACGTCGCAGATGGAAGCAAAATTATCAATAAACGCCTCACCTGATTAAAAGAATGCGGCGTCTATTCGAGGATACTGATAAAAAAACTCGGTACAACTTGGTAATCTACACCATCCAGACAGTTACGACTCTATCTCAGCAAAATAAGAGAGACATTGGAACCTTTAAAGTACATAACATTTTAAAAAACGATTTACAGTAACTTGTCATTGATTTAAGAAGTAAAAAGTGATTTCGAAACAAACGCCGCCCTTATATCAACGCCGCATCGGAAACGTTGAAAATGTAGTAATCGTCGCAACGTTTAACCGAATAAATACGGTATGACTGCGATAAGCTTCTCTTGATTTGGGTTTGAAGTAATGATATTACTGATTCACTTTCGCATGAAATATAACTTCCGGAGTTGTTGAACGAGTTACTTCTTTCAGGGCTTCTAAGTAAAAATTAAAATACACCCTGCGCTCAGCTATCATACCGCCATACGACAATTTTGTTTTAGATTAAGATTGCTCGCTTGATTGTTTGCTTTCATTTTTCAGCGTTTAACGTTTTCAACACAGGGAGTATTAAAAGCTGTCGACCCATGGCAAGCAGACTTGTTAAATCATTTCACGATGAACTGACAGCAAGGGATATTGAGGTAATGAGCCTTCAGCGTCTAGCACATTAAAAAAAATTTAGTCATTAAGGCGGCTTTGTTGACACTATACCGAATAGCTTTTGCGCCCCACGAAAACCATTACGGATAGGGTTTTGTTTACGCACAGGAACGGTTGTGGCGGCGCGATTTCTGTGACAGAGCGAAGCTGCGTCGCGCCGATCTCTAAAGGGGCCGCCGAGTCACATATCGGATCATAAGTGTTCACACTAAAGCGGATAGCTTTTGGTGGCTCCACAAAAAGCTATCTGGTATCAGTGTGAACATAACCTACGTTACTGACTCAAGAAACTAATGTGTCGTTTAAAATACTGATTCGCAATGATAGGGTATGTTTTTGAGGCACTTAGCCCATAAATACAGCGTCTTTTTTGGTTCCTTTTGGGTTCGTATAAACAGAACTTTGTATTTTGTTAATCGCAGATATTAAAACCCTTGAAAACTTTCGGAACACACCTGAAAGCCAAGGTAATCTCCCTTCCTTCGCAGCACAAAGGTTTTCTGTCAAGAGTGTCAGCCTCTCTATGGGTTCCTTCGGACGTCGTTTTGGTAGCGCCTTTTCCATCAAATCGTTAGTTTTTTCTGGTTTTTCAAATAATATAAGTTGTCGCATATCAAGATTACTTTGCGTGGTAACGCTTTTAGCGACACCACAACGTCGAAGGAAACAAAAAAAAATTGAGCAAACTTAACAAAAACTCTGAACGTGCCAGATTTCTTGCATTCATAGCACGACGAACGTTGCACATATTATGTTAATCTTGGACGGAATATCAGTGAGATCGTCGCTTCAATCTCTAATTCAGTCAACAATAGCGATCGTCGCGACTTCGATTCCGTCGGAAATACCCATAAAGAGGCTCAAGATCGGAGTTCTCTGCCCCAACTTCCCCGGGGTTGTTGCATCCGCGTGCAGTAACTAACCTATGGTACGCTGTGTCATTTCATTTCTAGCGACATCCAACGGTTTCACTAGACGAGGCTGCGCCGTATTTGGGTGAATTTTATACGAACGACGTGCCGACCATTTGGCGAGTGTTCATTACTCACGAAAACAACAAGCTGTTGTTTAAAGTGGATAATCACACCTTTTACCTTAATCATATTCGTGGGACGACCTTTGAACTTATTGACCGGAGAAAGGTTCAGTGCATTCAGATAGTAGTTTTGGGAGTCAACCATGAGAAAGTGTACTTTGACCCGCCAGACAACTCCACTAACTTCATCTCACCAGGCTTAATCAAGAATATATGCCTGTTTTTGAGCCAGATAATAGGGATCTGTTGTCATATACCGTCTTTATTCGTGTAAAAGCCACCCTCGATTAAACGTCGCAGATGGAAGCAAAATTATCAATAAACGCCTCACCTAATTAAAAGAATGCGGCGTCTATTCGAGGATACTGATAAAAAAAACTCGGTACAACTTGGTAATCTACACCATCCAGACAGTTACCACTCTATCTCAGCAAAATAAGGGAGACATTGGAACCTTTAAAGTACATAACATTTTAAAAAACGATTTACAGTAACTGTTGTCATTGATTTAAGAAATAAAAAGTGATTTCGAAGCAAACGCCGCCCTTATATCAACGCCACATAGGAAACGCTGAAAATATAATAAACGTCACGGCGTTTAATCGAATAAACACAGTATGACTGCGATAAGCTTCTCTTGATTTGAGTTTGAAGTAATAACCTATTCACTTTCGCATGAAATATAACCTCCAGAGCCTGTTGAACGAGTTATTTCTTTCAGGGCTTCTAAGTAAAAATTAAAATACACCCTGCGCTCAGCTATCATACTGCCATAAGACAATTTTGTTTCAGATTAAGATTGCCTGCTTGATTGTTTGCTTTCATTTTTCAGCGTTTAACGTTTTCAACACAGGGAGTATTAAAAGCTGTTGTCTACCCATGGCAAGCAGACTTGTTAAATCATTTCACGATGAACTTATAGCAAGGGATATTGAGGTAACGAGCCTTCAGCGTCTAGCACATTAAAAAAAATATCGTCATTAAGGCGGCTGTGTTGACACTATACCGAATAGCTTTTGCGCCCCACGAAAACCATTACGGATAGGGTTCTGTTTACACACAAGAACGGTTGTGGAGGCGCGATTTCTGTGACAGAGCGAAGCTGCGCCGCGCTGATCTCTAAAGGGGCCGCCGAGTCACATATCGGATCATTGGTGATCACACTACAGCGGATGGCTTTTGGTGGCGCCACAAAAAACTATCTGGTATCAGTGTGAACATAACCTAAGTTACTGACTCAAGAAACTAATGTGTCGTTTAAAATACTGATTCGCAATGATAGGGTATGTTTTTGAGGTACTTAGCCCATAAATATGGTGTCCTTTTTGGTTGCTTTTGGGTTCCTTTAAACAGAACTTTGTATTTTGTTAATCGCAGCTATTAAACCCTTGAAAACTTTTGGAACACACCTGAAAGCCAAGGTAACCTTCCTTCCTTCGCAGCACAAAGGTTTTCTGTCAAGAGGGTCAGCCTCTCTATGGGTTCCTTCAGACGTCGTTTTGGTAGCGAGTTTTCCATCAAATCGTTAGTTTTTTCTGGTTTTTCAAATAAATTGTCGCATATCAAGATTGGTTGGCGTGGTAACGCTTTTAGCGACACCACAACGACAAAGGAAACGAAAAAAAAAGAATTAAGCAAAGTTAACAAAAACTCTGAACTGCAGCACCCTTTTTGCCAGATTTTTTGCATTCATAAGACGACTAACGTTGTCAATCAAGTTGAACGGAATAGCAATGCAATCGTCGCTTCAATCTCTAATTCAGTCACCAACAGCGATCGTCGCGACTTCGATTCCGTCGGAAATACCCATAAAGAGGCTCAAGATCGGAGTTCTCTGCCCTAACTTCCCCGGGGTTGATGCATCCGCATGCAGTAACTAACCTATGGTACGCTGTGTCATTTCATTTCTAGCGACATCCAACGGTTTCACTAGACGAGGCTGCGCCATATTTGGGTGAATTTTACACGAACGACGTGCCGACCATTTGGCGAGTGTTCATTACTCACGAAAACAACAAGCTGTTGTTTAAAGTGGATAATCACACCTTTTACCTTAATCATATCCGTGGGACGACCTTTGAACTTATTGACCGGAGAAAGGTTGAATGCATTCAGATAGTAGTTTTGGGAGTCAACCATGAGAAAGTGTACTTTGACCCGCCAGACAACGCCACTAACTTCATCTCACCAGGCTTTACTGTATTTGGATTTAGTTTACGAGGAAAAGCAAGGTTTCACAGGAAAAACAATATCATAAACTAACTTTAAAGCTGCAGTGCGGGTAGTTTTTAACGCTGCCGAGAAACAGATAATAATGCTCGGGCAAAAGAAATAGTTCGCTTTTATCGATTTAAAGAAAAAGGAGCTGTGTCAAAAAAATTATCAAAAGAGAAACATTGAACGGAACATAAAAAGTATATATATATCCACTCAAAACATTTAACAAAAGGGTTAAAGAGCACAGCAAATACAAAAGAACGTAGGGATGGACAAAAACGCAGTTGCGGTTTTCTTTTTGAAAACTTGTTAGCCTGACAGTTTTTCAAAGTTCAATTTGATTGTTTGTAATGTTTAAAATAATGCTTTAGGACAGATATTTGTTTCAAATGAAGCTGCATGTGATTTTGTCATTTACAAGTAAATTCCTCACTCACGTGAAGTTTTTTAGCGGACAAGCACGCGTTATTGGCGTTATATTATGATGTATTAACTCAATTTATTATATGGCTAGAATAGTATGCGCGCTCTGATTGGCTGTTTTCTTGTAATGACCTGGCATTACTAGCTAGGTGTCTAAGGCATATACAATCTTTGTTTAACTTGATAGTGGACATCCTTATGGACATCCATGTTATGGTCAATCGACAGCTGTCAAAAAGGTTATCCACTGTACAATGCCACCCGACTGTATCGCGGGCCCAGGTGTACAACTCATTGAGGTGACGTGTTTTTCAAGTTATCCGCTGACCAGTTGTTGGTTTTAACTGATCGCAGACTCAGGTCCATAATGAAGAGGGCCATACAGTGAATAACTTATAAACCTCGTCCGTTCGGTCATTACAAAGAAATCTCGGTCTGATATTTCCCTGTAGTGACCTCACTCCCGGTTAATAAGTAGCATGAACTACGGCAGCCTTGACACAGCCTCTTCAATTTGTCACCTTTTTCTTTATCACCATTCACTGAGGCTCTATGCTTCAGTTCATTGAGTTTAGCGGTATCCTGCATTGATGAGATATGCCACTACCCAAACAATAGTACACACTGTAGTTTCATTGTCAATACTCCTGTACAGCGGACTCTCTTCTAAGTACTTTGTTCGTACGTAACGTAACTGAAAAGGAAGGGTATCAGATCGAGGGTAGGATTAGGAATGGATTAGGCTAAGATGTTTTGTTTCGTTCAACCGCTTGCTTAAGTGATTAACCTCGCTTTTCCCACTATAAAGAAAAGTCATACACAGGTACCGGATCAAGGATATGATGAAAGTGCTATAGTGCTGCTATAGTGATGAAAGTGCTTTCTGACTTGTTTGTGTTATATAACTTATGATGAAAATAGATATATGTAAGCAAAAAAGCTAAAAAAGTACTTAGTTCTTTAGTCACCTGCGTAACAAGCGCTGTTTTCAGTACTAGTAAAAAGTTTCGTCGCGTTGTATGTTCACATGCACGGAAGACGCAAGAAGCATAGGGCGCACCGGTTAAACCTTTTTTACGAAGGAATCTCGTTAATTTGCACAGGAATACATTAACACCGATGACTTCATGGTCCTTTGTCATAGTCCCATGGTTAAAAATGCGGAGGAATCTCATTAAGATTTAGTCGTGAGCTATTTTAGGCGATTTAACCGGTCTGACAGGTTTTATAGTTATTTCTAGGTCTATGAAGGTCTTGCTTCAATATTGTCAGTTATTCTAGACAACACGAAAAGACAATAATAGCAAATTATGGGTGGAAGTGACCAATGTTACTTCTTTGGATGCTGTAGCGACCGTGTCTTCCCAGCAAAACAATAGTGACCTATATCTTGGCCAAACTCAAACTGCATACATTTCGCATGGCTTTTGAATCCTTGTCTCGTTTTGATGGAATAAACGAACTCGACCGCGATTATTCGTCTTGAAAAATCTTATCGCTTGTTTGCTCCCTGAAATACCAAGCGACATTGCTTTTATCCTATAGATCGATCCTAAAGCGCGTTCAAAGATGGCGGGTATCGTGAATGAGGTCAATTCCCCAAAAATTAATTGGTGGGATTAAGGCAAAAGGCTATGACGTCATCGGTGTTCGTGTATTTCCGTGCAAGCTAATGAGATTCCTGCGCAAAAAAATACCAAACCGGTGCGCCGTGTACTACTAGTACTACTAACGCTAGCTAGGAGCCTGGAAGCAGAACCTTTCGGGCACACAACCCTCAGTTCATCCTCTTGCGTTTTATTCTTACATTCGTCTTACTCAGCAAAAACCTTCAACGTTCTCTTAAGCTTCTGAAGATTAGATACTCGACAAGTGTTTCCTAAATACGTTCCCCAGCCGAAGTCAGCACGCCATTCTTTGATTAGGAATTAATCACAAACAGCAGTTACAAAAATACCCGGATGTAAAAAACTGTAGTAATGTTATAATAACACCAATAATCGCAGTTTTTAATAAGCATTTTAAGCACAATAATCTTTTCACTAACAAGAAAACCTTTGAAACGTGCTTTTAGGCTGATTTAGAAAATAGTCGTGTATGAAAGTAGAATAGAATATATAGTTTTTCCTTATATTATTTCACATCGCCTGAAATAAAATAACCCAAAAAGGTTTGAATTATTAGATGTGACCGGAAAAATTGTTAAATCATTTCTCCGCTGTTTTTTCTGTACATAGCTAATATCATGTAAATAAGAAAGATTCGAAATACAATAAAGAAAACTTGTCCGGACACTCCTAGGCTCAAATCTATCTAATTTCTTAACCTTAAACAATAACTCTTCATAAGGCTTTGTATCACCCGATAACACCGACCGATAACACCCTCCTCGATCTCAATAATTCTTCAGATGATACGAAAGCCCAATAATTAATTCCTAGTTTAAACCCCGGGGAGTATTTCCTTATAAGAAGCTAATGGGAATGTGCCGCTGGCAGGGATCGCGAAAATGACACATTTGCCCAAAAGTGACTATGGGGTCTATAATTGGCCACAGAATAGACTATGTGACTGTGGCGGGGAAATCTCCGAGAAGCAGACCTTATGATGAATCATGCCTGGGACTTTAGCCAATCAGAAACGGAGAAATATTTTGAATTAATAATAATTCAAGTGCCTATAACGTGAAAATTTTTATGAAGTTAACATAAAGAGCTCGTTACTACAAGAACTTTTTGACCAATAAAATCAGTGAGGTTTTTAATAAAATTGAGTCTAAATTTCTTTGGTACATCCGTTCCGCTGATCACAAAATTGGCGGGAGGATTTGTGACGTCATGATGAGACTTAAATACGGGGTTTTATGCTCACTTATCGTAGTAGTACTAGTGATGTGTACTTTTAATTAAAAAAGGAAATGTTTAGGTTGCTACTTTTATGTCAATCAAAGACTCAGGTGAATAGAGGGCCGGGGTATGCGTACCTCACTGAGTGTCTTGAAACTAATTTAGCCTGCGAACAGCAGACGTATTTCCGGTCGGGGGGAGAGAAGCGACGATCGGAAATACGTCTGCTGTTCGCAGGAAGTACATTTATTATCTAATTTTGCACCAGGTTTA